ATCACACGAGACTTATTTTTTTTTAACCCCAGAAATGACTGGATTGCAAGTAACCTCGGATTACTTGGAAGGATTGGAGTGTTGCTTCATCCAGCTTGTGAAACGCATGTCTGATGCTATCGTGGAACCACACAACAGATCAGTCGGCTGTATATGTAGCTCCCAGAGTTGACATCCCTCAACCCTGGTTACGATAGTAGTCAACTTTTCAGACATAGGAAGACTTGTCAATCAACACGGTAGACGGTAGTTATGGGCCTGGAGCTAAACTGTAGCTAGTGTGGCGTGGCATTCATGGAAGTTATGAATGGCAGATCATCGGCCTTGTTTATGAGGGTGTGCATGCAGCGGGCAGAATTTGTGGACATTAGGTCCCTCGGTTTCCACCTAAACTTCCCCCATAAATCCCTCCCTTTGACTTCCTCTTTTAGGTCCCGCCATTTCAGCTGACTTGAAAGCACTGTTGCTTTAACAAGGCAAAGCTGTGGGATCATCGAAAGGAGAGGAGATTTTTGACGGCATAGGGAGCGGGGAAGAATTGGATGAGGAAGAACTGGAAGAGCAATAATTTGGCTATTTACTTTCCTAAGTCTTTTTCTTTTACTCTTCCATATTGATGAAGTTGTCATTTGTCAAATAACACACCCTCTAAATGCACAACTGAGGTTTCAAAGTCTTGCCTCTCCTCCGAGGACTTATGATACGACAACCGCTACACGGTGGTATCTTTTGTCTCTGCAGTATTTCCCAAGTGTCCACTTCCCATGCTCATGTTGGTTTAATCCCATGATAAAGAGGATAAAAGGTAGGTTCCTATTTTCCCTTCTTCCTTCCCCATAAAGTGTTAATCTTCTCAAGGGCAAGTTTAATGATTAAGGGAGGGGGAGGCGGACCCTTTGAGTTCCTTCTTCTTATTGGCTGATCAACTGATGCCTGCCTCCCTGACTTGAAATGTCTTTAAGCTGGTTTTGTCTTGTAAGAATAAGAATATCTTTCCATTTATGTGATTTTCTCTTTGCATGCACTTATTTTATCTTCAATACTTAACGCTCTTAACGCCTAAGTGTTCAGTCCCCTTCTTCACCTTGAAAAGCCTATAACTGTATACTTGGTGCCAGCGCAACTTCCCGTCAAGCGGCCCCAGAAATCGTCCCGAAAGCATTTACCTGAGCCTCAAGGAGGGTTGAGAATTGGTGGACACATCATTTGCCGGATACTTTGTTAGCTGTCCCCTCCACCTCACAGAGTATCCAGTTGAAGCGTCAACTCATAGTTAGTTAAAGGGGAAAAGAAAGTTCTCTCATTTCTCCCTCCCAATGGCAGATTCCACTGCATGGGCTATCTCGTTCACTCACGCATAAGGTGGAGGGAGGGAGCAGGGAAGGCCTTAAAGTCTTGACACACACACACACACAAGCACGGAGCAAGGGAGCATGAGAGGTTTCATGGCACCCTCCATATCTAGCTGGCTAGCTAACTGGCTGGCTAACCAACTGGACGTGTGTGTGTGACGCCAGAGCTTGTCACCATAGCGGCGATTTTTATTGGTTATGCCATAATGCTCGCGGTTTTGATGAGCCCTTGTTGCGGCTGGACACGCATCTCCCAAAACCGCATGACGTCGATGACGACGAAGAAATTGGTGGCGCTAATTAATGCACTTTTCATAATTAGCACTCCAATCGGCCCTCCTCCTCCTCCGCCCCCTTCCGCCTTCCCTGCTAGAGCCGCCAACCGCCTAGGCACTGTGTAGTATTTTCCAGTCTAGACGCCTCGATTACTTACCTGGTTGTTGCATTACCTACTGACTAGGTAAATTTCACTCTAGGCGAAACGTTTAATTTTTTTTCTCCCCTTGGACCGACGAAATACGACGCGGAGGCGAATGAGGCGAGCTATCCATAAAGACGGTAGGAAACTCAACACAGTTCTAGCTCACACCAAATATCAACAACTTCATATCGCCTTCAATGGAGAGTGATCGCATTCCACCCTACCTAGGCCACTTCGATTGGCCTTGGCCCTGTTTTCACCTTGAAACTGACCAATCAGGAGGACCAAATGAAATCGTTAGTTCTGACGAGACGTTTTAGAAGGCTCGGCAGTTAGGCATGAAAAACGTAAATTTCTGGGGATTTAAAACTGGTTTTGGGGTAGTTACGCGGGGGTGGGGCCGACAAACCAGGAGGTTTTGACGCTGGTGGAATGTACTTCTCATGCTGTGGATTCAGCTAGCCTGGAAATTTTGGCCCTTGTCATCCCCCTTTCCATCTCATTTTTCCTTTCTAAGGAACTATTCCCTTTAGCCTCTGTGTGTCGACTACCAAGTATGGACAAGGGGATGAGTTGAGTCAGTGTCTCCACTCCTGCCTCATTCTCATCAGAATGGTGACTTTTCTCCGAGGGTCATGTCAGATGCTGACTTCCTGTTGACTCTGTACGCCTTAGCTGACCTTAGTGCCCAGCCTTCAACCAATGACCACTTCATCGTAGATGCCTGTTTTCATCGCCCACTCCTATCAAACATGCCTGAAAGCTATTCTCAACGCAAGAAGGAGGTCTTCCTCTAGCAATTTATCCGCACTTTTGGAAGTAGCCGGTAAAAGAAGATAAGCCCGAATCCAATCTATCAGGCTAATCCGATGAGAAACGAGGCTTTCAGATGAGGGGAGGATCATACCGATAGACTGATGAGTGTTTCTACGAGCTTCTCTCTCCGAACATTGCATCGTTAGACCTTCCGCCAAGTCCTTCTCGCTCTGATTGGTCAATTAGTCAATAGCCAATTAAAACGCTAGAATGGGATCAACTGGGGGTATTCAAAACCCCCGGTCCCGGTTCACCGAAGTTCTCGTTGTACACACATTTTCGACTTTTAAAAGCCTTGCTTTTTATGACATTCGTTTATTCTTTTACTCTGGTTGCCATCTCCATTACATCTACGATAATTCGGAATGCCATTGTTTAAGAAATTCGCGCAGTTATTGGCCTCTTCCATATGTGTGTGCTCGCTCTTCTCTAGTAGTGGTAATTTATTGTACATTTCTTCTTATTTTTTCTCCTCCTCCTCCCTGTTTGATGTATCACCTTTAATTTGTCCCTCATTAACCTCAAACAAAGGTGTGGCGAGACTGGGGGGAAGGGCAGAGGAAAAGGCGGTAGCGCTACCCTATCAATTACACAGTATTAAAACGCTGACCAACAGCAATAATTACTTCACAGTTGTGTCTGCTTTCATCCCCCCTCCCCCCCACCTCCCTACCCGGTCCCCTTTTTTTCTTATAAATAGATGTCCACATTTTTGCTAGGATTTGGGATGACTTGAGTGGGAAAAGGAGAACGAGAAGTGATCTTAAAATAGAAAGTTTTCAGGTGAGAGTTATTCGGACCGAAGGAAAGGTGGAGGTTTTGTTTGCTCTAATTTATGAGTCCTTTCATTTTAGGTTTATGGTAATGAATTAAGGATTACATCTGAATGATTGGCAATAATTTATGACGTTTTTGAATGCAATGAGGAAAAAATTTGCTTTGCTTCTGTTTTAATTTTATGTGTTAAATCCATTTTTGATTTTAATGAGAGAGAATAATGTCTGGACCAGACAGCTGTAGGGGCTACAACGCCTCACCCACAGTGTACTTCAAAGAAGTGATTGCTGTTTGAATTGTCATTTCCATTCTTAATAACCTTAAACACTGTTTAGTGTTTCACACTGTTGTGGCTGCTGGGGGGGCCAAACTGTTCACCTCGTGTAGCAAGGACGCGCCTTCAGGGCAGCCTTCGAATTCTGCTATGCGGTCATGTTCACAAAGGCCATGCCACGGGGCGTTTCAGTCGCGCGACCTGCGATCAGAATCACAACTTTAATTTTGTTGTGTAGAGCTATGCACATTATCAAGGCATGCCGCCTGGTCGACACGTTAAGACTACCATCCAATGGGCGCAATCCACCCACATCCCGCCTACCACAGGTGTCCACCCAGTTCTCAACCTTATCCTCGAAAGAAATACACCAACACTTCACCACAGATGAGCGAGAAGCCTTTAGTGCTCTCCACAAATCACTCATTTAGTGCCAGTTTAGACACCACCAGTCGAAATGCAGATTATTGTGTAAAGTTATGGGGAAGGGTAGGAAGGGAAGGCATGGAACTTGTGGATACTTACTCGTACAAGAGCATCCACCCACGTTGACGTAACAGCATGTGTGGCATTGAGTAAGGACCTACTGACTAAACTCTAGTCAAGCGTCTCTGTCAAAGTGATTTCCCAAATCGTATTGATACTTTTCTCACAGTTCATTTGCCGTAACTGGGGCATCACCTTGTTTTAAATGAAGGTCAGATTTGAAATTTAAAATGCTGTCATGCATCGTTTGCATTGCGAAGCGAGTACAACTAAGCAGGTCAAAGGGTAGAGTGACAATCACGCTGACTTGGCGTGACCAGTGATTAAATCGACCAATGCTGACGTGACGTGTTATTTCGTGACACAATCTAACAAGACCTTGACCTCAGGGGGTGATGCGTTGTCAACCCTATTTAAGTTGCACATCGGAGCGCATGTCTTGCAAGCCTTTCATTCGACGGTACCACCACATCGCTGTTTCAGCACATCACAAACAGTAAGTTGATTCAATGCTGTACTTGTATGCCGTGGTAGCCTTTTTCACAAAACCATTCATTCATTCGTCGGTTAGTTACTCAATCAGTTTGTGAGTAACTTGCTCATAATCTCGGATTAGCATTACATGATAATTTGGACTTGACAATTCTCCAGCACTACTTATTCCTCCCTCTTGTCACTTTCATTTGCATTCTAGATGGGGAAAAGAAGCAGAAGGAAGGCAAGCAAAAAAACGATTGCAGACCTTCCGATGGAACTGGGTCTGAGAATTTGCAAATACCTTAGAGCCAATGATTTAATACAGTTATGCCACGCAATCCCAAAGTGGAAGTGGATACTCAACACTTGGCCATACTGCTACTTTATAGGTTGGGGTATGGAGGAATGGAAGTGGCTCGACAAGTACATCTGCCAGGTGCTTTTAACTGAAGAGGACTTAATCTGCGGCAATGCAATTGCAGCAATAGTGCATCGCAGTGAGCAAGATGCCATTTTCCAGCGACTGTCGTATGCAGAGTTCCCTAAACACATACAGAGGTCTGTAAGATGCTTGTATCTCGCATCACATTCTGGTGCAAGTTGGCAGCGAGGCAGCATGGAACGGTACTATTGCGACTTGCAGGTGGTGAATTCCGGCCCTCCGACTCGCATCTTCTTTGATGTAGATATTAACGTGCAGCACTTTCGTATCGAATGGCATTACTCTTCAAGCGAATCATGTGGAAGTTCTCTGCAACAGTTGACAAATATCACGGAGTCGACAATGCAATTGGGAGAAAGGCGTCTTGCAGACTACGACTGTGTAGTAGTAGATGCCGATTATGGAAATGCTTATCGAATGTACAGAGGCATGGAGGAGCTCGTGAGTAGTATGATCCCGCACCAAACATTCATCACGACTGGTTGGTTGTATTACTCCAGGCGTCTCGTGACCAGTCTCGATCGCATGAAGGAGATGTTTTGGTGTTTAGGTGGGTTTTATGACAACCCACTTCTTCAAACCTCTTCCAGTTGGCGAATTTGGTGCAAGCATGGTATGGTTGACGACACTCTTAGTTGGAATTTGGTGGAGATGATGCGGTGGGCCTGCCTCGATGTCTTCTGGAAAAGAAGTGGACCAGTACGTCGCTGAGCATGATTTCGCCAGTGAAATTCTTCTAGCATGCATTTATTTTCTGCTTCAAACCTGCAATACAAACCTTATATTCATTGCTTGATTCACATTAGGAAAACAAGACTGCTTTACCCTACTAGTGGTGGGTGGGCACAGAAGACCAGCATAAATTACCTACAACCGGTATGTAGAAATTGCAGTGGATATCATTATGGTGTTGTGGGAAGTGGAATATTGAGGTCACTTAGTGTTTACCTGAGCTTTTTCGCCGTGGCTAAACAATGTTGGTCTCAGTAGGCTCTCGTGATCACGTTTGAAGTATGCTAAAGTGAGCAGTTTGAGTCGACAGCAAACAGTAAGGCCATTACTAAGGTATAGGTATTTGCAAAAATTGAATCCTGCTTTCCCAATCTACCGCATGTTTGCGGTGTAGGGCATGAGCATTTTGACATGCTTTGGAGTTGCTTGCTATCATATTATAACGCGGTTGCTTGTGCAAAACAGTATTTTTGTATTGGTCTTTCAAATTGGATGGTTGGCGGAGTGTCGCCCTGAATGCGACGTGTTTTTCTTGTGCAAGTGATGTCACCTTCGGCTTGTAGAACGCCAGATTTCCATGTCAAATATCGATGGCTTCACCGACTTTCATCCATGGACATGAAAGGGAATAAACAAAGTCATTGACTATGAGGTACAATATGACAAACAAAAAGCCATCAATTTCTCAGCATTTAATCGAGCACTCACTCTGTAGATATTGTTTGCTGATCTAATCAAAATTATGGTGAGAGTAAAATGGAGTGATTTGTTGGGTTAAGTAATTGTCCCACCACCCACACCCACTCGGGTAGTCACTCCAACTTGGTTGTGTTGTAGGAGAGATGGTGACAAAAAGCAGACAAAATAAGGTTTGATTGACAGCGGGATTAATGACTGGTTAAGCAAAGCTGCCATTTAGCATCAGCCCTGATGACATGATTGGGTTCAATTCAGGGTGGGACGATGTTAGCCACAGTAAAATTTCCACCTGATGACAGAACTAACTGGCAAGGTTTACCCCAACCCTAGACTCATTCCTCAACCCAATAACATGAATTAATCTTGCCCCATCAACATTTCATTTAAGGTTCTTGATACTGTGCAATGCAGAGCACCGTTGAGGTGGCGTGTCGAAGGTTCCATCCGCCCACCACAACTTGACTCGTGGCAGCTACTTTTACATGCTTTTAGCGTACACTTACTACCTCATTATTGTTAAGTCTTGAGACACGAGTTTCATTAAATTGCTTAAGTCGCATGTCTTGGCCGTGGTGAAGCACTGACAACTGGGTGTATAAAATTTGAAGCACATGTCATGGTGCTGGCATTTGTGAGAAGTGTGATAGGTGATCGTCTGTAGCAGACGTGATCGGGTCTATGGATAGAAGCTACATTCTAAAGGAAAGTAAACAAAGCCACACTTTAAGGCAGTTCCTTCTTCGTCAGGCCTTGAGTACTGAGATTTGGAATAATTTAAGTCCTCGTTTCCAAGTTAATGTAAAATTACGCAGGATTTTCTGTGCCTGTCATAGCAAAACCACAAACTGGCAACGCCATATTTAAGGTATTTGTAAGGGGTCTATTTCAGTATGGAGGCTTGAAATTTTCCTATTTGGTGGCTTAAGGTGGATCATTGCACCCACCTAAGCTGCATTCAAATGTTGGTCGAGAAAATATGAGGTAAGTCGCCCAATGAGAAATGTGATTTCCATATTTCCTTTTTTTAAAGCTATAGGCAAAGTTGACAGGCCTATTGGCTGCAGCTTTAGTGTTGCTCAAGTGCTGTTGTCAAGTCCTCGATTAACTGCTGAATGAAATCGTTTGCTCCATTGTAGCTAATCACGTGCTCCCACTATCATGACATTTGTTGACAAATCACCCAAGATACTATTTGGTCTGTGCTCCATTCCAGTAAGTGATAAGAAGGGAAATTATTTTCAATGAAATTCATTCGCCTTGCAACAGCACCTTCACAATCCAACTCGGTAGAACTCACTTGGAATGGATCACTTTAAGTGTTGTTGTAGGCAATGCAGAAAGTGACAAGGCTGTTGGGCCTTCCATTTCGCTCTCAAGTGGCGATGTTGTGCACCTTTGGAGCGCAATGAAATTTCAATCTGGTAGTGATGAGTTTAAATTATGGTGGTAGCTCTGCAATTACAGCATTTGTTCGCTCATCACTGACGCCTCACTCACCATGACACGATATGACCTCATGGTGCTGCTTGAGGACTCAAATGCTGTTGCAAAATGACCGCTGACGAAATCCCTCGTAAAGATGAAATCATCTATTCAGAACCACAGGCCATGGCCCAGTTGTTTTGCGGCTGGGCTTATGGCGCGCCAATCCTCCTGTCAATTGCCCTTTATCATGGCATGGAAGGAGGCGATAAGACTCCAGACGTATTTCAGGACCACGTCAAAAATAGTCAGCTCCCACTGATGTTTTGCAAGTTATGTAAACGCAAAGTGTGGGCATTCGCGCGCTGATCTAGATATCATGCCCTTCTAAAAAATTGTCAATTTGACCCTTTTTTCAAACATTGCCTAAGCCAATGGCCTTGAGTATTCGATTGATTTGGTGGAGCCAGACGTGGCATAGTGCAGCGCCAATGACACAGTCATATCCACTACATTGAGCTACTTTTATCTCCTCATAAGTAAAAAATTTTATTTTATACACAGGAATGACCCAGTGAGTGTGTAGACATCCATCATTTGGGTAGTACCAAATGCCGTTTTGGAAGGTGCCCAAAAAACCTGTTGCAAAGTAATCGCTAGAATAAATACGCAACCTATGTTTCAACAGTCATTTGATGAAATATAAAAAGTAACCCCACACGACTTCGTATATTCACTTGAATTTCACAACCTAAGCACAAAAATGCAAGATAATGTATTAAAAATACAAAGAACAAGAACATAAAAGATGAGAGAATAGGGGTAAAGTAGTAACGGTTTGTTGGCCTCTCCGTCCTCGATTCTCCAGGCAAGACGCTACTCTAGCACCGCAGACTGGATGACTACCCTTCTAATATAAGGGCACAAATAAGACAGTCCGCCACTTTTGCACCCAGTTTCGGCAGGGAATGTAAGCCAGACGCTGCTCTAAACAGCTTCAATCTCGTCAACCAGAAAGATCCAAGACTTCCCAAGTACAATATTTCAGTCCAGCACTGACTTTCAAGTGCCCCAGGAATCCATTCGCATCCCCGATTAAACTTTCTCAGTCATTCTTCTTGTAGTCTCCATGTTTTCCTGGAAATCCATAGCATTTTACTGAATCCACCCCAGCTTCCATTTGCGTAAACAGTAAACACCTACGCAAGGACTCTTCAAAACAAACGCACGATTAGCGCCCACGAGGAGTGCCCAGTTAGGGCGGTTGGTGTCGTATGCTCCTCATTGGTGCAGCCAAACAAACTCATATAAATTCAAAAAATTTAATTAACTAAGCAAATTTAAAAAAATTCAAAAAAAATTGCTTTTTGTGATTTATACAAACGTACAAAATTTGGTGTAGGCTGATGTTAAAAGGGAATAACAAATTCAATTCCTAAAACCAAGACTTGATATGTCATGAATGATAATGCCTTAATTAGGCATTATAACACATTCGTTATGTGGAGATTACTAACAGTGTTTAAAGGTTTGTGATTACTGGGCACCAATTCTTTCCTCATTCGCTTCCTTGGTTTGTTTAACGTAAAATATCATCCCCACCCCAACTCTCTTCCAATGCCTTCCAAGCACTTAATACTCTTTTGTATTACTCCTAAAAAATTGGTCCTTCTAAGCTTGCTTGCATCTAAAATTAACGTTTATCACAATATGCTCAATTGCATTCGTTATGGTATTCACAGGCCTCGAAGTTAGTCGCCTAAACGATCGTTTTCGGCGTGGGCCAACTCATGTTTGAAAATGACTAGCTGTCGAGATAGATGTAGGCCACTGCTCGTTGGTTTCCATTGCCTCTAACCATGTGGTGGTGGGGCGATGCAGCACTCAATACCAGCTCCCTTCTCTGGCGTTCTTCCATCCACTCTGAAGTTCCTCTTCCCTCGTGCTTCCCAGAGTTTGCTTATTTCCAGAAACCTGATCATTGTTTATCCAAATTTTTGGCTTTTAGCATACGCAAATACACTACATTGCGGTTGGTTTCTTCCTTCATTGTGCTAACGATAAAGTCAGGTCACAGCAGAGTCACCAGCTCGTAACGGTAATGCAAAAGCCTTCTACTTGCTCCTTTCTTAATGCTCACTTTGGCACTTTTTCTTATGTTCGTAGCTCCTACACACCTCTGAGAGGCTTGAATGGTAGTTAGGCTGGTCTTTCTCCCCCGCGGTTTTAAGTACCAAGTGAAGAGAGACACTTGGCATCCCCTGCAGCACCAAAGATTTCATTAACGTACTGAGTTGGTATAGTTTTCGGCAGAAATCGTGGAATCTCATATTTCTACCTCTAATTCATACGAGAATGTGAGACGAGAGTCACCGTTGAAGAATCACCCCACAGTACCTTGCATTTCGCCTAAGAGGTTAGGTGGCACTGCTTCAAGTGGTTTCTGTGTGGGGCGTGTTTCTAGTGTGTGTCATCAGTATGCTTAATTGTAGTGACTTCTGAAGTGGTATTGTTTCATGTTCGTTGCTCGGTGACGAATGTCGTAAGGAAGAAGAAACCCCAACGACTTCTGCTTTAAATCGGCCTGAAAACCGGTTGATAGTTCTGCTTCTAAAAAGGAATTTAAACCTTCCTGCCAGTCAACACACTTTATGTTGTAGTCGGACTACTGACACCCACCCACAACCAAACAATGAGGCGTAGACAGATAAGTCTGCTTTGCCATCTCCTCACATCGAGACAACTGACCGCACACAGTTTATTCTACAGACAGGTGACTGGATGCTTTGACTGGTGGTGGTTGAAGACAAAGGAGCTCTGGCAATCCTTCACTCCAAGGTCTATCCACTTGTGAGGCCATTCTCAGCATAGTGAGTTGGAAGCCCGAGTTGCAAGACGGGGTTTTGAGCTGGTAGTCGAGGTAGGTGAATAAAAACACTCGAGGAGAAGGAATCTTTACTACTGTAGATTGTATTTCTCGACACTACACAAGGCTGGCGTCAGCAAACATGTTTATGCACGTAGTTTGAAAAATGACGCAGTTTAGACTTTGCTGCCCACACATACTATGCATGAATCGAATGTTCTAGAAGGCCTATCACACCCATGAATAGGGAAAAGAAGGAAAACAAAGAGAAAAAATATGCATGATGATGCAGCCGGCACGTCTAGAAAAAGAAGAAAAGTAGAAGAAGGAAAACGAGGAGTGAAATTCGTCCGACGACAATGTTGCATCAAGCGCGAGTAGGTGTGTTGAAGGAATATTCGAGACGGTCTAGTATCCCCACGACGAGGCAAAAGAAGGAATGTCAAGAATGAGATTAGCTTGATAATAAGGCTGTAGAAATCACGAGTAGAATGTATGGTGATAAAACGTTCTAGAAGGTCAATCACTCCCCGAAGACGTAATAAAGGCAAAATTCGCCTGACGAGGACGATGACGTATCAAACACGAGTGGAATGTGTGCTGAGCTAGGCTGTAGAGGCTCTTCTCCGTTTTTGCCTTCGTTGAATAACTTTTATAGGGAGTCAAAAAAGTTGTGCCTCTTCTGGAATTACCAGAAGGCCCAGCATTTCGTGGTCATGAAATCCATCAGATGACCCATGTTGGCCTGATGGGCAGCATCGCCTAGACGCAACCCCCAACCCCTTTCTAATGTAGGCACACCTAACACCCCACAACCGTTGCCTCCCACTCCCCTACCCTGTCCTCCCAGGTCCTCCTGAAAACCACGTATCTTGACTTATGCCTACGGATAGTCAGCCTACGAGTCCTAGAAGAGCATCGCCTAATTTACAACGCCGGACTTCATTTCGTCCGTAATTTTCATTGATGGATCTGATCCTTACGAGGCATTCAAGGCCCCCTGACTGCCACAACAATGACTCGTCGACTGATGAACACACTTAAACATACCCTGAAGCCTTGATGAGCCTACTTAGCTGCTAATTTACTGGACCATGTCCACCTTAGGAGCCTGACCTCAGCCTGCTTTGCCATCTCCTCACATGGATACAACTGACCGCACACAGTTTATTCTACATCCAGGTGCCTAGATGCTTTGAATGAGGGTGGTTGAAGGCAAAGGAGCTCTGGCAGCTCTTCATTCCAAAGTACATCCACTTGTGAATTCCGAGACGGAATTCTGAGCTGGTAATCGAAGTGGCTGATTAAAAACACTTGGGGAGCAACACTGGAGACTGTACGTCACGGTGCAACGCAATGCTTGAGTCGTCAAACATGTTTATGCGCATGAACCGAAGTCTCTAGAAGGTGGAAACAAGGGGAAAAAGGAATGGAATTCGTCTGATGGTGTTGAGGATGTATCAAGCACGAGTAGGAGGTGGGTTAACGGAATGGTAAGGACACCCTCTTACAAGTACGAAGAGAGACGAGAAAGAAAACAAAGAACGAGGTTCGCCTGATGGTGAGGATGTAGAAAGCACGAGAATGTATATCCCGATAGAATGATCTAGAAATACAGTCACCTCTTCAAAGACGCAATGAAGGCAAAATTTGCCAGGCAAAGCTGATGACGTATCAAACACGAGGGGAATGTTTGCTGAGCTAAGCCTTAGAGGTGCTTCACGTTTCTAGAACATTCGTGTACACGCCCGTTTTTGCTTTTACCATTTCATTGCACAACTTTTATAGGCAGTTAAAAAATTTGTGCTTCTTCTTAAATTTACCCGAATGCACAGCATTTCGTGGACATAAAATCCACCTACTGATCAATGATGGCAATGGCGACCTCTATCCGACGTAGACCTTACTAACACCCAACAACTGTGGCCTTCTACCCGCCTGCGCTCCTTTCCCCTTCCTCATTCTCCTGAAAACCATACCTCTTGACTTTTGCCTAGGGAGAGTCAGCCTACGAGACCTAGAGGAATACCTCATAATTCACACCTTCAAGTCTACAATTAATTTAGTCTGCTTCCTCCCTTGACAGCTTCATGTTGGAGGGTGATACCGATCAGGGAGGCCATACCTACTGAGTTAGTTGCTGCCGCATAGGTAACAGGACATTACTGGTAGTGGAGGGAAAAATTAGCTTTGGGGCGGAGAGCCAAGGCCAGGGTTGATGCCACAGCAAGGCGTAGCCAAGACACGCTGCACGCACCGCGTCCCTACACTAGT